GACTGCCTGGACCCTAGAAAGGTGACAGACAGGACCACACCTTGACCAAGACTGCCCTCTGTTTAAACCTAAACCTCAGGCCGGGGCTGTGAAGATGATCTTGGGGTGGAGGTCTCATTGAACTTCTGTTCCTTTTGTGGTCACACTGTGTGTGTATGCTGTGGGGATGTCACTAGACCTCTTTATTTGTCCTCAGTGTGACCGCATTGAATAGGTCCCAGTGGCCTTCCCCCACCGCAGTTTCAAATGGGACTGGCTGGAACCAGAGACCTCTGAGAATTTCATCTTTCTATTCACCATAGCCGCGCAACAACCCATTCCATAAGTAGTCATTCGAATTTTTATTATTTAATCTTCAGTCTGGCATACAAAAATCTCATGATGGTTTTGCTTTTGTTGGCATATTGTGATTAGGTTTTAGGCTTGTTTTCCGTTTCCCTACGCGGTCTACTATATAGGTTTCACTCACATGTCATGTACTCTATTTCTAGGTCTTCTTTCTCTCATACTTATTTTCTCCTTTAAAAAAAAAACTAATTTATAACCTTCTGTAGCTCAGATAGGTCCAGAAATCTGTCCAAAGGCATCCAAGCTTCCCCTCCTAGCTACACTTCCCACCTTTTTTTAAGCAGATGACCCTCACCCACCCTCCTTTTTCATAGGTTCTGTCAGTGGAAACATTCGTGGGACTTTGTTATGGCAGAGTTGAAGTGCGTAGTTCAGACAATAGCTCCTCAGTACAGACTCTCAGGTCGGCTGGTGCAAGAACACACAGCTGCAGGGTGTCACCACTATGCAATGCTGTACTAGCCAGTTAATGACAGTGGCCCCTTTAGCTTCATAACTGTTGAAGGGTAGACAGTTGAGTTTGTTGAGGGGTAGACAGTGAGTGGAGCATACTCAGAGCTTAGTTAGTGATTAGGGGCAGGGGCATAGAAGAAGAATCTCATTCTGAAGGCATAAAAATATTTTCAAAAGAATCATACTAATATCGTAAGTTAGGAAAAGAGGTGCCAATCCAGATTCTGGGGCATTAAAGACACCGAATGGAAAAGCCCAGAAAGGAAGCTTCTCTCGTCATCTTACAACTCAGACACTGAATATGTCAGACAAAGTCAATTTCAAATGGCAAGAGAGAAACATTAAATCACATATAAAGGCAGACCCATCAGAGTAGCAGTAGACTGGTCAATAAAAATTTTAAAAGCCTGGAAGGATATTTTTCAGGTTCTCAAAGACAACTGCAAACCAGAAAAGCTATCTGCCATACTGAAGGAGTAGCAAAAGCTTTTCATGGTAAAAATAGGTTGACGTCCTTATAACCATTAAATCATATTTCCAGAAGAAACTTTGACATCCTTCAGACTGCCGAGAAAAACAAATCCATCCATGGGGGTCACAGGAAAGATTAAACATGGTAGAATAATAACTAAGCAAGAGAAGAGGAAGAAAAAGCCAATCATCACAAAGTTAAGAAATGGCAGGGACCAATGCACATCTTTTAGCAATGATTCTGAATATCAATGGTCTGAGTTTCACAGCTCAAAGATGGACTGGAGACTGGGTCAGAAAGCAGGAACCATGCATTTGTTGATTCTAATAAACCTATCTCACCATAAAAGAGGTAGATTTCCTTCGTGTGGAAGGATGGGAAAAGATATTCCACGTACATGAACTGAGAAATAAGTGGAGCAATTGTTCTAAAATCTGCCAAAACAGACTTCAAATCAAAATTGTGAGAAGAGGTAAAGGTCACCTCATACTGATTAAGGACAGTCCATCAAGGAGACATTGCTATGCTAAACCTATCTGCCACAAACACTGCGCCCAGCTTCATGAAATAGATAACAGAGGTAAAGTCGAAGATTAGCAAGAGCAATAGGTGACTACAGTACCCCACTCTCAAAAACTGACAAACTACCCAGACAGAAAACAGAGAAATATTGGAATTTAGTGACATCATAGATCAACTGAACCTAACAGACATCTATGGAACATTCCATCCAAATACCTCAGAATATACATTTTTTTCACAGCTCATAATGATATGTATATGATAGATCATATACATCCAAAGACACACATTGGAACAAAGATAACCTCTCCAACAATTGGTGTTGGGAAAACTGCATCTCTACTTGTAGCAGCATGGTGGGCTCATGTTTACCAGAGATCCAAGAGGTAGATTCATCAAGGACCTTGGACATAGTATGAGGCTTCATTGGCTTTGTTAAGGCATGTGGTAGGATGTATGATCTTTATACTGTAGGATGGGCTTTGGTGGATCTAAGTGATCTATGCTGACTTCTAAAGTGGACTTACAAAAACCGTAAAACAATTTAGAAGAGATAAGAGAAGGGCAACCTTCTATGTAGCAACCTTCTAAGTAGCAACCTTCTATGTAGCAAGATTTGGGTCACCTTGGCATTCCTAGGGGAAACCCAGAAAGCCCAATGATGTGCTTGTGAGCTTCTGGAGGTTTTAAAGCCTGAGAAGTTCACAGGGGACATAACTGATAAAACAATACAAATTTAAAAAAGAAAAGGTTAATCAGGTCCTAGGGGTGGGTACTGGGGGTATGTGGTCTGACTTTTCTTTAGGCCGCCAGCTCACAAATATTGACACAGAGACTTATTATTAAGTATGAAAGTTTAACCTTTAGCTTAGGCTTGTTTTCAACTAGCTCTTACAACTCAAGTTAGCCCACTTATATTAATCTATGTACTGCCACGTGGCATTGCCTTTCTTCCGTCTTGTACTTCCTGCTTCCTCTCTGTCTCTGGCTGGCAACGCGGCCTTTCTTCTTCCCTGTGTTTCTCTCTGTGTCCAGAAGTCCCGCCCATACCTCCTGCCTAGCTATTGGCCATTCAGCTTTTTTATCTTGCCGATCACAGCGCTACATCTTCACACTGTGTACAGATATCCCCCAGTAGGGGTGGGGATTAGTGGGCTGTTCTGAGATCCTTTCAGCAGCTAGATGTGCTCAACAGAGAGGTGAGAGCCATGGTGCTAGTCTGGAGCCTGGCACGCCTAAGGAAGTGGCTCCCTGGCAGGCAAGCTGGCTGGAGCGCAGCCCTTATTCAACAAGACCAACTCAGAGACTGACTGGGGAGGGAAGTGCACAGTGAGCCCACAGAAATTATAGCTGATAAGGATGCAGCCAGGTGGATAAAAGGAAAATATCCGTGGATCAAAGAGCGCCAGATGAGGAGGTAATATTCGCCAATTGTGTCGCTGTACCTGACATTGCTCTTTCGACGGAACAACTGAGAAAAGCGACGGGATATTTCTATACTGTAAGCCCCTCAAGGCACAGGAGTGGCCAGGCCCCTCCCCCCAGGACCTCTAACTGCCAGGTTCCACACACAGAATACTCTAACTGCCCTAACTGCCAGACCCTGCCCCCATCCTACAGAGTGACAAGCCCAATCTATGGACATGAAATCCCACCAGTCTCCACTCTGGAGACTCCACCCCCTTGCCCAGAAACTCTCTGTCAGTTTGCTGCTGTTTATCACCCAAGCAGAGGCAGCCACCCTCCTGGGTTTTCCCCTCCCAATAAATCTCTTGTGCGAGGTTTGTTATGCGGTGTAACTTTGTGGTATTTCTTGGCTCCCGGCGGCCAGGTCCCTTTCCACTGGAACTGTAATGCTTACACACACTGCACTGGATCTTGCTGATGTTTCTTTTTCAGTATCTCTGTAGCTAAGATCAACTGACACTGATGTGGATTATGGTGAGCCTGCAGAGATGCTGCCAACTCTCTATAAATAGGTTTCTTTCCGTAATGCTAACCCCTGAGCATCTTAGAGATGTAAAAACATCGGGAGAAGCAGTGAAGACAGCAGATGAAAGTTTAAATGACAGCGCCCTGCAGGAACAGAAGTACTTCTGAGACTCATAAAAATGGTTGGGTAACAATGCAGTATCAGAAGTGGACGACCCCAGAAGGAGTTCTTGGCCAAAGAGACTGTCTCCCAGCAGCAGTTACTGTGATAAAACACAACCAAAAGAAACCAGTGGAAGAGTTAAAATATTTTGTCTTACATTTGCGGAGAGAGATTCTATAATGGAGAGGAAAGTAGGGTAGAAGGGAGCTAGAGCCCAAAGCTGGCTGATTACGAGAGTGAAGAGGAAGTGGGGAAAGGCTAAATCTCTCAAAGCCCACCCCACATTCTGAAAGTGCCTTAATCTCCCCAGAGAGCCCTTGCTGAGTCTCATGGTTTTTGTTTTTTACATTTTGCACAACTGTTGGAGGGTACATGTATTCCAGGTCCCCCTTTCCTGTTGTTGGATGTGTGAGTCACCCTGGTGGGTTCACCTGGATTAGTGTGCATCAGAAAAGCCGACTGTCACAGTAACTGTCGGTTTGACTGGGGTCCCAGTGTAACACTATGCTCTTGTTCTGTGTCCCTTATAAGGTCTGGAGACAGGAAACCCAGTTGCCCAAAATATAGTTTACAGTTTGCTTTTTCTTTCTTCTTTTTTCCTGAGCTAGGAATATCAGTGTTTAAAAACTGAGTGACAGGGGAATGTGGGAGGGAGTAAAAGTTGAGAATGAGGAGAGTACTTCCATGGGGTTGGTGGAAAGAAATAACAGGGAGGATATTGTTTATTAGCCTTGGAGAGGACAGAGCCTTTTCTTGGAGGACACAAGTTAAACACTTAAGGAGCAAAAGCATGCATGCTGAGAAAAGAACGGAAAATGTAAAACGGTATATACAAAATGAAAACATGAAAATTAAGTTTTTAAGGACAGGTATTGCACCGTATGCCTTAGAATACATCCAGATGGATCTCTGGGAGTTCAAGGCCAGTCCAGTTGGACACCCTGTCAGAAACATACATATGTGTGTACACACAAATGAAATAGAAGGTATTATGGATTTAGTCGATGCTTCATCATTGGAGAGTGCTCTGACTGTATGTTAAAAGTGTTAGTTTGTGTGTCAGGATACATATAAAGTTCTGCAGCAAACTTCCAAAGACCCAAATAGTACCTTCCTGCTAAGGCCAGAGTGAGAGATGCTGAGACTCTCTTAGCTTGACTCTTCCACCTCACTTCTGCTGCCACGCCCATAGTTTGTTTAGCTTGTGCTCTGTTGCTTGGATCCAGTGCTGTTCCACATTCCACATTCCGCTGCTTTCCTTTTCCAGGGTGCGGAGAGAGCTTTTGTTCCACGGGCAATATTGGGAGTGGGAGGATGATGAATAGGGCCAGTCTCTCAATTCTAGGGTTCCTTACCTCTCTAGAGCTGTGTCCGGAGATTCCCTAGTTGTTCTTTGGTGGTGGACCCAGCTGGGCTAAGGGCAGCTCTTCTAGGCCTCGGTGAGTTAAGGGGAGTGTGAGCTTCGGAAATCTCTCCATTTCAGATTCCCAGGCCTGCTCAGCACTTGGTGGAAATTTGTTCTTTCGCAGTTCATGACATTGATGTGGCTCTCTCTAGAATGGCTTCTCATTTGTACAGGAAGATATGGAAAACTTTCCCATAATCCCTGCTATTGAGGGCTTCTTTCCAGTATGAATTCATTGATGTTTGGTAAGTTCTGATGTCTGACTTAATCATTTGCAACATGCATGACATACAAAGGCTTCTAGTATGGGTTTTCAGAGGTTGGTTAAGATGGCCATATTCACAGATAATCTATGCATCTCTTTGGCACAAATTCCCTGAAGAAAAAGGAAGAACTTAGAAAACTATGAAATTTTTTTTTTAAATTTTCATTGTATTTTTAGTTTTTCTCTACTCTCTGGTTTTAAATGTTGATTAAGGATTCAAGTTGACTAAAAAGTTTCTCCTTGTTATTTCCAAATTACGGAGTCCCCCAAAAATCAACAAGGAGACTGAGTCTCGTATGGAAAAGCAAAGAACCTTTATTTAAGCTTAAACTTGAACTCTCCATGTGTCCAATGCATTGGCACAATTAGAGAGCCTTGAGCTTCGTTGGGGTGGGGTTTTATCGTAGCAGAGGTTGGGGTGAGGGATTTCTAAGGCTTAGGACCCCTGATTGGTCGACATTTGTCTAGGGCTGTCTTGGTGAAAGGGGATGGGTGTGAGCTGGGTAGGGGACATCAGGTGATCCTATCTACAATGGTTGGAACGGTAGGAGTTTCCTTTGGAAGGTTAGATACTTTCCCCTCGGATGGTGCATTCCTGTGTGGTGCCTGGGTGGTCTCTGTTGAGCCTGTCATGGCTGGGCCCTCTATTCCTATTCATAGATTTTACATTGTTTCTCTTTAGTATGATTTCTCTGATATTAAAAATGGCAACCCTTCCCATGTACATTGCATTGAGTTTTCTTTATTCTACCAATTTTCTCTGGATGTGAGGACTGCCTTACATTTTGATGCTGTGTTGCTTGTATGTATGTATGTACGTGTTTGTGCAATACTGAGGGTTTTGGGCATACTAAGCAAGCCACTACCACTGAGTCATATACCTAGCCTCATCTTTGACACCATTAATTGGCCTAGAAATTTTCTCTCTCAAGCAGGTTCTTGATTGAGCATCTTGGAATTATCTTTCACATATAGAATTCCATGAAATGCTGACAGACATCTGTTTGATATGGATAGATTTCTTAGGGTCTGACATCCTATTAATGTGCTATTGTTTGATCTTTGGAAAACAGCTCATTTGAAGTAGACAGACAGAAGAAACTGAATAAATTTACATGCTGAGGTCTGTTTTCTGACTGCAGTTTTTACTTGCCCAGACTGTTTTTGATATGCTGACCTCACCCTCTGTGCAAGCTGTGTGAAGAATCGACTCTGCCCTCCATTGCTCCAGGATTTGACATGCACTTAGGCCTGAGTAGTGAGAGGCAGTAATAGTTCAGTGGTCAGTAGAGCTCAAGCAAATTTTATGTCTTAGTTAGGGTTTCTATTATAGTGAAGACACACCATAATCAAGGCAACTCTTATAAAAAAGCATTAACTGGGGCTGGTTTACAGGTTTAGAAGTTTAGTTCATTATATTCATGTCAGGAAGCATAGTGGTGCACAGGCAGGCACGGTTCTGGAGAAGGAGCTGAGAATTCTACACTGGATTTGCAGGCAGCAGGAAGAGAGAGAGTGATACTGGGTCTGGCTTGAGCATCTGAAACCTCAAAGCCCACCCCCAGTGACATACTTCCTCCAACAAGGTCACACCTACTCCAACAATACCACACTTCCTAACAGTGAAGCTTCTCTATGAGCTTATAGGGACCACTTTCATTTAAACCACTACACTATGATATGTAGTCATATAATAATGCAAAACTGCATTTAGTTCAACTTTAAAAGTCTCCATCCACAGTCTCCACACTCTTTAAAAGTTCAAAGTCTCTTCTGAGACTCATGGCAATCTCTTAACTGTAACCCCCAGTAAAATCAAACTGAAAGAGCCGATCATATACTTCCAAAATGCAGTGTTACAGGATATGCGTTACCATTCCTAAAGGGGGAATACTGAACCAAAGCAAGACTGAAAACCAGCTGGGCAAACTTCAAATTCTGTATCTCCAAGTCTGATGTCAAACTGCTTTTCAGATCTCCAACTCCTTTAAGCTTTGTTGACTGCAACACACTTATTTCTCCTGGACTGGTTCCATTTCCTGTTAGCATCTTTATTCAGCAGGTATCTCATGACTCTGGGATCTCTAACATCTTGGGGTCCCCAACGTAAATCAGGTTTCACCTTCACAGCTTCACACAGTGGCCTCTCTAGGCCCCCATGCAGGGACACCATGGCACATGCCTAATGGTAGGTAGTCTTCCTTAGATGCAGAGGGAGATTCCATAACCTCTTTCTTGAATCCCCGACTCTAATGCTAGAACCATGTGGCAGAAGCTGCAAAGTTCTGCTTGTTGTGACTGGAACATGGCCCCTTGTTCAAATACATTTTTGTTTTTTTGCCAGCTTTCTGTTTTTGATAGTTTACTTCACTGCCTAAATTTGGATGTCCTGGAGCTTGTTTGGTAGAGTAGGCTGACCTTGAATTCAGAAATCTACCTGCCTCTGCTTCCAAAGTGCTGGGATTAAAGGAAGTACCACCACTCCAGACCCTATGAACTTCTTTAATTTCCTTTTACAAGTTGGAATCTGAGCTGGGTGGGGTCTTGCCCTGAAGTCACCACTCCCTTTATTTCATTGAGTGGCAGGCTTTACTTTAATCTGGTTATCTCCTTGAACACCTGACTTCCTGGTCTCTCTTTTCTCCTCAATCTGTTCATTTTGTACTTTTTCTTGTTCAGCTTGCTCTTTTTCATTACAGATCTGCATATGACTAACTACTAGTGACCATGTGACACACAAATAGGCTGTTCTGAAATCTCTTTTGCCAATGCTCTTAGTCCAAACCTCTTCAGTTTAACCTCAGGCAGATTTTTTGGACAAGGGCAAAACAGTCAGTCACATTCTTTATCAAAATATTACAAAAACAGTCTCTGGGCCACTCACCAACACTCTTCTCCTCTGAAAACTCTTGAGCCTGGCTCCCATAGTTCAGATTTCCCTCAGCACCACTGTCCTACTAGGATGGCTCTTAATCCAAGGTCCCAAAATCCACATTTTACCAAGAAGCATGGTCAGGTCTATCTAAGATTTCAAGTGCAATATTAAATAGGCACGGAGAGAGCAAACATCTTTGTCTTGTTCCTGATTTTAGTGAAAATCTTTTGAATTTCTGTTGAGGATGACGTTGGCTTTGAGCTTGCTGTTAATTGACTTTATTATGTTTAAGTATATCCCTTATATTACCAGTCTCTTCAGGACTTTCAATTATGACCGGATGTTGGATTTTGTCAAGGTCGTTTCTGCACTAATGAGATGATAACGTGATTTTTGTATTTTAGTCTGGTTATATTGTGGGTAATGTTGATTTATGGAACCATACTTGCATCTCTGGGATGAAATTGACTTACTCCCAGTGGAGAATCTTTTTTTGATGTGTTTTGAATGTGGTTTGCAAGTATTTTATTGATAATTTTTGCATGTGTTCATAAGGGGTATTGTTCTCGAATTTTCTCTGTTGGATCTCTGTGTGGTTTTGGTAGGAGGGTAATGGTAGTTTTATAAAAATAATTATTAAGCCAGGCGGTGATGGCGCATGCCTTTAATCCCAGCACTCGGGTTGGGGGCAGAGGCAGGCGGATCTCTGTGAGTTCGAGGCTAGCCTGGTCTACAAGAGCTAGTTCCAGGACAGGCTCCAAAGCTACAGAGAAACCCTGTCTCGAAAAATCAAAAAAAAAAAAAACCCAAAAAACAAAAAAAACAAAAAACTATTAAATGTTCCTTCAATTTCTATTTTGCAGAATAATTTTAAGTTTTGGCATTAGTTTCCTTTGAAGGATTAGTAGAATTCAGTAGTGCCATCTGGCCTTGAATTTTTTCTTTGCTTGGGAAATTTTTAATTACAGCTTTTATTTCACTAGTAGTTATGAGTTTATTTTTCATCTTTGATTTAACTTTCATAGGTCGTATATATAAGTAAATTCATCCACTTCTTTTAGGCTTTCCAGTTTGGTGGAACAGAGATTTTTAAAACATGTCCTCATGATTTTCTGAATCCCCTTGGAGTTTATTGCAATATCTTTCTTTTCATCTCTAACCTTATTAATTGGGTCTTCTCTGTCATTTGGTAAATTTCACTAAATATTTGTCAATCTTGTTGAAGTTCTCAAATAACCAATTCTTCATTTTGTTGATTCTTGTATTGGTTTGTTGTTTTCTATTTCATTGAATTTCAGCCCTGAATTTGTTGATTTCTGCCTACTTTCTTTATTACTTCTTCCTGTTGTTTTAAGAGTTTTCAAGTGTGTTATTAATAAGATTTCTCCAGGTTTTTGATGTAGGCACTTAGTGTTAGGAATCTCTCTTAGAACTGCATACATTCTAACTCTAAGATTTGGGTATGTTGGGCTTTCATTTTCATTCAATTCTAAAATGTTTCTAATTTTCTTTTTATTTCTGTTTTGATTCAATTACCTTCTCTAAGTTTGTATGCTTTCTGCCATTTCTATTGTTGATAACAATTTCTACTCTGTGGTGGTCACTGTGATACAGTGGGTTATTTGAACTTTCTTGTATCTGCTAAGACTTGCTTTATGTCCTAACTTGTGGTTAGTTTTGGAGAAAGTTCCGTGAACTGCTCAGAAGAAAGCATATTCTTTAATGCTTTCGCGCAATGTCCTATTGATTCTGCTAGGCCAATTTGATTTACAGCATAATTTAACTCCAGAGTTTCCTTCTTCAGTTTTTTATCTGGGTGGCCTGTCTGTTGGCAAGGGTGAGGTTATCAAAGTCATCCAGTGTCACATCAGCATCTATATGTGATTTTACTTACAGGAGTTTCTTTTATGATTAACTGTTCTTGGATTATTTATTTCTTTTCCCTCTTGGGTATAATTAACCTTCTCTTCAGACTCGAGTATTCACTTTAGTGCTTTTTGTAAAGCTGGGCTGGTGGATAGAAATCGGTGATTTGTTTGCATTGTGATTTTTTTCTTTTCCTTTTTCTTTTCTTTCTTTCTTTCTTTTATTTTTTTTTTCCTTTTTTGAGACAGGGTTTCTCTGCGTAACAGCCTGGTTGTCCTGGAACTCTGTAGACCAGGCTGGCCTCAAACTCAGATATCCACCTGCCTCTGCCTCCTGGGTGCTGGGATTAAAGGCGTGCGCCACCACCACACAGCTATGAAAGGTTTTTCTTTCCATCAGGTGTGATTGATAGTTCTGCTGGGTATATTAGTCTGAGATAGCATCTGTGGTTTCTCAGAGCTTATAGAATATTTATCTAGGCCCTTCTGGGTTTCAGAGTCTCCAGTGAAAAAGTTGTATTTTACAATGGGCCTGAATTTATATGTGAGTTGGTCTTTTCTCTTGAAGCTCTTAATAGTCTTTGTTCTGTATATTTAGTATTATATTGTTTTGTAGAAATTTCTTTTTGGTCCTGTCTATTTGATGTTCTGTATGCCTCTTATACTTTGATAAGCACCTCTTTCCTGGGATTGGAGACATCTTCTTGGTTTTGTTAAATATCTTTCCTGTGCCTTTGGGCTGGGATGCTTCTTTCTCTATAGGTATTATTTGCAAGTTTTTTTTTTTCATAGTGTCCCAGATTTGCTGGATGTTTTGTGCCTGGATCTTTTTCTACATGTAACACTTTCTTTGGCTTAGATATCTATTCCTTTTACTTTGTCTTCAAGACCAGAAATTTTCTCTTGCCTGTCTTTTAATCTGCCAGTGAGCCTTACCTCTTGATTTTCATTTGACTTCTGTATTTTTCATTTCCAGTTTTAATTTCAGTTGTGTCTTCTTTAAGAATTTTAATTTATTGAATTCTATTTTCATGTCTTGAATTTTTTTCATTATTTCATTGAAATCTTTTGTTTTAATGTTCCTCATTCAGGCATTTTTTTATCCCCTTTGAGGTCCTTGAACGTATTCATAACTGATAGTCTGAAGTTCTTGTCTATTGCTTAGCTAAATTACTATCTTCAGGATATTACAACATATTGCTGGCCACTGAGGTCAGCCTATTTATATTATGTGCATTAGTGTAAAGGTTTCAGAGCCCCTGGAACTGGAGTTGTAAATTGCCATGTGGGTGCTGAGAATTGAACCTGGTCCTCTGGGTGGAGGGGGCGTATTATATTGGTTGTTCATGGTATTGTTTTTGTGTTGGCATCTGGGCATGCGGAGTTATGTCTGAAGTATTTCTTGATGTAGATATCTAGTCTTTTCTTTGCTAGGTGGATGTTCTGCTATTTGGTTGCCGCTGTCCACTCTGGGTCCTAGCCAAGTGTGGGGGCTGTGGGTTCTCTGGTAGAGAGCTGTTCTGTACATCCTTTGGGAGTTACAAAAGAACAGAAATGGGCTAAGAGGAAAGGCTGAAAGAGGTGGCAGGGAAGGACTAGAGAGACCCTGGGTCTGCAATAAGAGGCCAGGGTCCAAAGGGATGGAACTAGGAAGAGGGGCCCAGGTGGGCAGACTGCAGGTAGGGAGAACACTAAGTCCAGAGAGACTAGAATGGAGGATAGGAAGGAAGATAAAGGTCACCTCCCTGGGTCCCAGGCAATTGTGGGTCCCTGGCAGAGTGTGATTGTGCAGTTCAGTGAGAGTCACACAGGAATGAAGATGGGCCTGTAGGAAAAGCTGAAAGGGGCAGCAGGAAAAAACTATGGAGATCCTGGACCCACACCAAAAGGCTAAATCCTAAGTGAATGGATATAAATCAGCATAATCTTAAGGCAGATTATCTCGGAATAAAGACATTATATGGTGAAAATATCTAATTACTTGACAACAGCAATCAAATTATACAGAAGCCCATAAACACCATGTTATATGTATGACCACAGGGGAAGAGACCCTCCTCACATCTTGCCAATAAAACTTATGGTAAGGGTATCCCCTGTGGCTCTGGGCACCAAATGATCCAGGTGAATCCTTAAAGGAATTAAATAAAAAAAGGTATTGTGGCTAATTTTAGTGTCAACTTGATGTAGGCTAGTGTCACTGGGAAGAGGGAAACTCAACTGAGAAAATGTCTCCAGAGTGGTCTGTGGGACATTTTCTTGATTAGTGATTAGTGAGCCCCCCCCCCCCCAGGGAGTGGTGTCGCACCGGAGTGGGTGTCCTGAACAGCATAAGAAAGAAGGCTGAGCAAAAAAGCATGGGGAGGAAGCCAGTGAGCAGCTCTCCTCCATGGCCTCTGCATCAGGTTCTGCCTTCAGGTTCCTTCTTTGAGTTCCTGATCTGATCTCCCTTTGTGATAGACTGATCGGTACACCACGGCTGAAATAAAACCTTTCCTCTCCACGTTGCTTTTGATCAAGTTTTATCACAGCAGTAGAGTCTAAGACAGAAGAGAAAATGAGAAAACATGGCCCACCTTGAGATTTTCTGTTTTGTTAAAAGTGAAAAATACATATGAAAAAATAACTCTGAAAGACTTGATAATCACACTAGTTACCTGACAAATTTGTAGTTTTTTTTTTACAGTGTTGCATAAGCATATCCACTTCTCTTCAATTGATGCTTGATTTAAAAAGAACAGCACAGAGAGTGCTGGAAAATGTTGGGTTGTAAGTCAAACCTGTGGTTTTCTCAAGTAAGGGCTGCTCTCCCCACCCGTTTCTCTAGGAGGAGTGTATCAGCCAAGTCCTACTTCATCAGACTCAGCCTTCCTGGCCTTCCAGTTACAGCTGGTAGTTTTATGCAATAAGTTTTATATTCTGAATTGGTGACATTAGCTTCCTCAAGTTAGATGTAATTAAAACAGTAACACTAAACCTTGGGTGTGTTCACGCACAGGCATGGGCACGTGTCCATGTGTGCTGGTGGCCAGAGAGCAATGCCAAGTGTCCTCCTCAACCATTCTCCACCTTAGTTTTTGAGATAGGCTTTCTCTTGCTGAACCTGGAGTTCACTGATTTGGGTAGGCTGGCTAGTCAACAACCCCCAGGAACCATCCAACCCGTCTCCCTAGCACTTGAGTTACTTGGGTATACTGTCATACTTGACATTTTACGTGTTTGAGTGCTGGGCCTGACGGCAGGCCCTCAGGCTTACTGACTCAGCCATTGATTGCCTGATCCCCTAAATTGTTTGTATCATGCAAAGCCTACTGTAGCTATGGTTCCCAGAAAACTCCTCTCTCCTTTCCCTTACTCATGCTAAGTGAGTGGTACTGTATCTGGCCTGAGGAATCAAGTACTGTTGGTAGAAACTCCTTTCTTTTACCCCATGACCTTCTCGCAGACACATGGCTTGCTGAGGGGTATCCTGATCTGATGCCACCAGAAGTTGTGAAGTTCAAATAAACAATTACTGGTTTATTTGAATGATATGAATGTTTATGCTTGGCCTTTCTTTACAGTTTAAAATAAACTTTAAAATATCGTACACAAGCTTCTGACGATACATATAAAAATAACATGTTTATTGACAGGCCATTAGAACAGTCAAATTCAGTTTATAAGTATCAAGACATTGAAAATGAAATAACTAAAACTTTCAAGATTCATATTCGAATACAAACATGTAGTTAGATTGAATATAAGGCATAAAAGGGACAAACACTGAAATATGAAGGACCAGAGTTCCCCAAGGAACTAACATAAAGCAAACCCGTAAGTGTGATTTAAACTGCACACTCGAGCCCATGGAACCATAAGATGGATCCTGCTTAATGATATTCAAAAGGGAAGATGGTAGTTTCTGCAGTGTCTCAAGAAAATCAAGAATGGAAGCAATGGAAGCAAAACCAGAGATACTGAAGCACCACTAAGATGGGCCAGAGCGCAGCACGGACACACCTCCGTCAGCAAACCAAGAGTGATGAGATGTACTTACGCAGTTCGCTCTGACTGATACACAGCCACTTCATTAGAACACGTATTGAAAAATATGTAATAAGTTGTGTTTATGTAAATAAAGAATGAAAGTGCTTGATAGTACACATGAGCAAGTGGGAGGACACGGTGGTGGGGTAACGTGTACTAGGCCCTTTATAAATACTGTCATCTTATTATTTATGTAATATAGTTTTTTGAGACCACATATTTGCTAAATGTGAATGGGAGAAATCAGACTCAACTTTGAAAGGCTCACATTGATCTTATTTCACTAGCCAGATTTTGGCCACCCATTGAATTGTTTTATTTACGCTTTGAGGATACTGAAAAGGTCTTAATAATGGAAAAGTCTGTTAGTGACATGTAGTCACATCCTAAGTTAGGAATATGTGTTTACTTCCCCATTTTACTGTTCTCAATATCCTGTAAAAATCAACCAGATAGGGCTGCTGAGCTCCTGGCAGTTGCAATGGGTGTGTTCATTTGTTCTACTCTGCTTATTGGTCTGGCCTAGGAGGGTAAGTAGAATGTCTTCATTCCTGAGTGAAGGGGAAATTTGCCACCATTACGACTTCTCTACTTCATCTGACTTCTTATTGGTTTTAACTCTCTATCTGACTCCTTGACACCAGTGAGCTAGTATAGGGCCAGGAAACATTTTTTGTAAAGAGTCAGACAGCAAATGCTGTAAGATTTAGGAAATGATCCGCTACGGACGAAATATGTGCTTCCACAACTCAAGTGTTGGTACTTTAGCTCTGGGAGATGACTGGATCACTGCAGCAGAGTTCTCGTTAAGAGAATCGATATTCTTAGAAGTTGAAGAGACACCAGTTCTTGGCTCATTCTGTGAGGCTGAGGTGCCTTCTGGGAACAAGGAAGTAGCCCCTCACCAGACCCAAACATGCTGGTGTCTTGTTCTCTAGTACAAAGTTCCAAGCCTGGGTTTGAGTTTTCTCTTGGGTCATCAGGTACAGATCTGTTGTCTATAGCTCCTCAGGTTTATGAAATCGGCTACAGCGGACAACCTCTGAGCAGTCACTCCATTCTGATGTCTCACACAAAAGCAGCCAGACAGCATGTAAACACCGAGTGTAGTTTGATTTATAGACATGAATGACTTATAGAAATGAATTTGATTTATAGAAATCAATATGATTTATTAAAATAGGTGGTGGCTAGGCTCCGTCAAGAATTCCAGACCTAGTTTGCCAAATCCTGCTCTTATAGATGCTATACCGACTAAAGTAATGAAGGAGCTGAGCGCCTTTCCTGAGTCAGCCATTCTCCTGACTTCAGACCCTGCACTGGCTGGTGTTATGTCAACTTGACACAAGTTAGGGTCATCTGAAAAGAGGGAACCTCAACTGAGAAAATGCCTCCATAAGATCCAGCTGTAAGACAGTTTCTTAATTAGTGATTGATGGGGGAGGGCACAGCTCACTGTGGTTGGTGCCATCCCTGGACAGGAGGTTCTTGATTCTATAAGAAAGCAGGTTGAGCAAAGCCATGAGAGTAAGCCAGTAAGCATCTCCCTCCATGACAACTGCATCAGTTCCTGCCTCCAGATCCTACTGTTTTTGAGTTCCTGGCCTGACTTCCTTCAATGATACTACTACGATGTACAAGTAAAAGCCAAATAAACTCATTCCTCCTCAAGTTGCTTTCGGTCATGGTGTTTTATCACAGCAGTAGAAACCCTAAGACAGATACTAAGTCTTTCCAACCAACTTACCCTCCTCGAGTGAGTTTCTGTTCATCCACAAATGTCTTTATGAAGAGCCCTTTCTCCAACTTCCTGTGATTTCCGTCACTACCGAATTCATACTTCATTCACCCACCAGACAGTTCTTTCCGCTACCACCACTTCTTTAAAGTAGCCCCTAGCTTCTCTTAGTCATAATATGCAAAGTGTACTGAAACACATCATAGTGGGGAGGCAAGAGCATGAACTGGAAGGGTAGGACCCAAGAGATGAGACACTAAAAAATGGTGACTACTTTTTCCCTATAATTTTTCTGTATTTTCTTCTTATATAACTTGAAATACAGAATAATGAAAAACTGACATTGTGTATTGTTTCACTAAACACTTACTTGAGCTTTTGTTTGTTTCCCATCCTCTCACTGGCTTTTGGTCACCTCTGTCACACTAATAGATCAATATGATTTCATGCCATGTTTACTTAAGAGGTCAGGGATAAAGACCAACCAATGTACGGAAGAATAACAAAATAATGTGAGTGAAACATGAAATCCAGATAAGAGGAAGGAAGAAAGATGTTTATCCTCAGGTAAGTCACTTCAGGCTTGTCCCCATACTTGACAGGAAAGTATGTCATGGTGCCTCACAGTTCCTTCAGCTCTCTTCTTGACTGGGACCTCTAATAAAATAATGCATTGACCCCTATCAACTTTTCAGATATATTCAAATTGCAATACACCTAGGGAGTTTTCTAAAAGTGACAGAGCATAGTTCACAGAAAGCTAAATAAAGTAGAGGAACGAATGCTCCCTGATGATCTGATTATAGAAAACCGAGTGCTCCATCAGTGCCAAGATGGGCAGAGAGGATCCTGGCCAACCAAAGTGAAGACTCGGACCCATTAAGTACATTAGGATACCAAGGGAACTAGAAAATGAATCTTCAAAACAAAGGGATAACACTGTGATTCATGAGAATCAATGACCAATATTCTTCATGTAAACCTAACTTAGAACCTATTATAAATACATTTTAGTTATGTTCATCAAATTAGACAGCACTTTGTAGGGGATGGAATCCTAAGCAACTTTCACCTCTCAACCTTTCCTTTCTAACACAGAAATTAATCTCTAAGAAAATGATAGCATGTGTCTCTCTGAGTTCAGAGCAACGACTTTGTGTCTTCCCAAGGATAAGGCTGTTAAGTCTTAAGCCTAACCTACAAAATAAGATTTCCTTACTAAATGAAAGGCTCCAGCAGGCCCTGTTCTTACTAAAAACCACATCACTACTGTCTCCCAAACATTTCTTGAACCAAAAAAGAACAGGGTATTTGAAATTTTGGAAATAAAAATTTTGAGATCTATAGCCAGAATTTTTAAAATATTGAGTATTTGGAAAACTGGGAATAAAACATTTTGAGACTGAGATCCAGAGGTTTTCATTATCTGTTGTTCAAATTCATACACTGGACGTGTGAAATCATTTACATATACAAAAGTTCCCAAGGGTCCTTTCATGGACCTTCCATTTAAATATTCAAATATTAAACACAGTGATAAAGCCAACTTACAGTTCTTAACAGTCAGTAAGATCTCAGGGTTGCTCTGCAGTGTGAATTCTCTGATGTCGGATGAGGGATGAACCGCACTTAAAGCTCTTCCCGCACTCCTTACATCTAAAAGGCCTCTCTCCAGTGTGAGTTCTCTGGTGCTGAATCAGAGCTGACGAATGAATGAAGGCTTTCCCACACTCACCACACTTGTAGGGCTTCTTTCCAACATGAATTCTTTGATGCTTGGCAAAATTTGAGCTCCGGCTAAATGTTTTCCCACATTCATGACATTCATAGGGCTTCTCTCCAGTGTGAATTCTCTGGTGCTGAACGAGGTGCGTGCTCTGACTGAACGTCTTCCCACACTCGCTACACTCATAGGGTTTTTCTCCGGTGTGAACTCTCTGGTGCTTCGTAAGGGACGAGCAATGACTAAAGGCTTTCCCACACTCTTGACACTTATAGGGCTTCTCTCCAGTATGAGTTCTTTGATGTTTGATGAGTGCTGACGAATGGATGAAAGCTTTATCGCATTCGTTACATTCATAAGGCTTCACCCCAGTGTGAATCAGCTGATGCTGGGCGAGGTGTGTGCTCCGGTTAAAACCTTTCCCGCAATCGCTGCACTCGTACGGTCTCTCTCCAACGTGAATTCGCTGATGGACAGCGAGGGATGAGCTTTCCAGGAAGGTTTTCTTGCATTCACAGCACTTGAAAAGAATTCTAGTGTGTGTTCTCTGGTGCTTAGTTAGATTGGCTCTGTGGCTAAAGGACTTGGCACATTCACCGCAGGTGTAGGGTTTCTCCCCAGTGTGAACGCGCTGGTGTCGAATGAGGACAGAGTGGTATGTGAAGAGCTCACCACAGTCAACGCATTTATGAGGCTTTTTTTCTTTATGAGCTCTCTGCTTTTTCATTAAACTTGATTTCTGCTTCAATCTTCTCCCAAGTGTCTGAAAGTCATAGGACCCTTGAGGAATTCTCTCCTCGGTCATCAGGAGAGATTTCTGACTGTCATTTTCCCAATAGATATCCTGTTCACGATGCTTTTCCACAGGGAGTGAGTTCAGGTGAGTGAACATTTGTGTTAAGTGCTTTTCCTGGCTTCCTTGCTGACGCTCTACCCAGTGTTCTCCATCATGAGCTGCTTCCAAGCTGCAGTCAGAAACGGTATTTCGTGTCTGTTTTTCTGCTCTTGTAACCTGGTTTGATTCTTCTGTGGAAAACTCTTGCACTGAAGTTGAATCCTTGCTTTCAGGTCTAATTCCCACATCTGAAAAGACATTGCAAATGCAAATTTTCTGTGTTTTCTGGGCTTAACAAAAACATAGGTCACAGGTAAGAATTAATGAAGACAAAAGAATGCTTGTGTGGAATTAGTAGAGCTGACACTCTTATTGAATGGTTTTTGAAAATGAAGGAAATTGAGGGAAATAAATATGAAAATTAATAGACTTTATCTATGAGAATCAGATGGGGGAAAACGATCAGAAATATAAGAGGGAAAATGATGAAAAATGTATCTGTAAGGAGCAGCAATGAGTACATTAGATATGGAGAGTAAAAACCACATTTTATAGAATACCTTCTGCCACAATATCTAGGAAACCACATATAAAGATAGCTAAATATATGTTCATTTAATGATATGTAGCATTATTGTATAATACTATGCTATCATAAACATTATTCAGTCAAGTAATTAGAACAGTGTGGTACTGAACCATACTGACAAATAAGCCAAGAAAGAAATTCAAACATATGTAAGGGAACTGGGTGTAGTGGAATATCCCTTTACACTGTGTGAAGACGTGTCACGGTGATTGGTTTAGTAAAGAGCGGAATGGTCAGTAGTTAGGCGAGAGAATAGGTGGGATTTCCAGGGAGAGAGAGGAATGCTGGGATGAATCTCGGCACGAAAGAAATGCCAGCAAGACACTGAAGAAGTTGGATGTATGGTAGAGCGGGGGAGTAACAGAGTCACATGGCAGAATGTCGATTAATAAAACAGGTTAATTTAAGTCATAAGCATTAGTTGGGTAAAGCCTAAACTAAGGCCAAGCTTTCATAATTAATAATAAGTCTCCATGTCATTATTTGTGAGCTGGTCGCTCAAAGGAACATCTGACTACAATTAGGTTTACCAAAAGGTAGCGTTACAAATCACTGATAAATGATTACTCAATCAATGATGCTGGATTATAGGCTGTAAGATCCATTTCACATTATTTACAAAAATAAATGCCTGCACAACAAAACTTGATTATTTTATAATAAAATTCAGATTATCTTTCTGACACTGGTATGATAAAACAAGTCACGAAGAGCAAACTTAAAATTAGTGAGGATTTATCCAGGTGTAGTGACACACGCCTTTAATCCCAGCACTCAGGGAGGCAGAGGTAGGCGGATCTCTGTGAATCCAAGGCCAACGTGGTCTACAATGTGAGTTCTAAGACAGCCAGAACTATTACACATAGAAACCCTGTCTATAAAACAAAAAATTAAGCCGGGGGGTGGTGGTGCATGCCTTTAATCCCAGCACTTGGGAGGCAGAGGCAGGAGGATCTCTGTGAGTTCGAGGCCAGCTTGGTCTACAAGAGCTAGTTCCAGGACAGGCTCTAAAGCTACAGAGAAACCCTGTCTCAAAACCAAAAAAAAAAAAAAAAATATTAGTAAACGCTGGGGTTGGAGAGGACTCAGTTGTTAAGAGCACTTACTGCTGTGGTAGAAGACCCAGGTTCAGTTCCCAACACCCACAGGAGGCTCCTAACACGCTATAACTCCAGTACAAGGGGATCCAACACTCTAGCCAGGCCCACACTCACACACGTAAAGTAAAAATAAACGTTAAAAAATTTATCTTTAACTATGTATGTGTGTCTATATGTGGGCATGTATGTGTGAGTTGGATGCCCACAGTGGCCAGAGGCTTTTGATCCCCTGGAGCTGGAGTTATAGGCGGCTACAAGCTGCCTGATGGGTGCTCAGAATCATGCCCAGGTCCTCAACAAGAGCAGTACCTACTTCAGCTGCTGAGCCATCCTCCTCGCCCCTAAAATGATGCTTGCTTAGTGTCCACAAGGTTTTGGGCTTCAACCCCATAACTGAAAAATAGAAATCAGTAAATCTGACCTTAAAATTTAAAAGTTTAATATCCTGAATTTGGGGCTTATTAAGAAGGCCCCAAAGTGGATGAATCAATTCCTCCTCATTTGTAACACTACTGCTATCATATATTAGAATCTAAAATATACAAAGAGCTGCAACAAATGAAGGAAACTTGAATAGGCAAGAATCTCAAATGCTCATGAGGCTCGTATTTAGTCCTCAGAGAAATACAAATAAAAAAATACAAAGTGGTATTTTATATATATATATATATATATATATATATATATATATATATATATGATGGACAAGAGCTACTAAGTCAAAAGTCAACTGGTGGATAAGATGGGGAAGGACCTTAACAAATCTAATAAAACTAGCAGGTGACACTAAGACCCACACATCCCCTTCCAGTCATCTACTTTAATGTCAGCTCTCAAGAGGAACACGAAGAATAATGGTCATGCAACTCTGCAAGGGCCAAAGGGAGAAACTAACTGCCCAGTTTATTCACACGACGCACCTACACCAAACTATTTAAAAGAAATACATACAATTCATGACATACTAATATAGATTGTTAACAAAATGAAATGCTGGAGCTTCTAAATAGATTACAGAAGAAAAATTGTAAAAATACACACATTTTAATGTCCATGCGTGTATGCATATATATACCTGTACACACAAATACAAGAAGAGTCACGCCCACTTCAAGACAAAGTGGTTACTTCTAGAAAATGAGACAATGAGAGGACTTTATCCGAATCTCTAAAATTTTTATTTCTTAAAAAGCAAAAGACACCACATAGCCATAGGAATGGCTAGAGTAAATACAGATAATAGTAAGTGTTGGTAAGTACACGAAAAAACTAGGAGTTGTGAGTTCTCTCAATGGAAGGATTTTTGTAAAGTCTCTTTTGCAATATCTATATTATACACACACACACACAAAACACATATATGCGTTCATAAAAAGACATGTGAAAGAACGTATACAGGAACAGCATTCACACAACCGAAACTGCACACTATACACATAGCTGTCTTTAGAAGAATGGGCAAACTGGGCTACTGCAATAATGAAAGGCTACACAGCACTGAGAACGAACTAATCTCAGCAAAATGCCACAGCATGGATCTCACTGTGAAAGCTCAGAGAAGGAAGCCCATCTCAAAAGAATATACAATGATTCCATTTAAATGAGGTCCCACAACAATCAAAACTAACTGTGGTGTTACACGTTGGGATAAGGCTACCCGTGGGAGAGCGGTGACTGCACATCGGGCACAGGGCTTCTCAGGAGATTAGTGCTTTCTTCATCTAGGCAGTACTTACATGAATGTGTTCAATTTGTAAAAATTCATATAAACGTTATAATACTTTTATGTATTTTATTGTTGCAATAAAAAAGAAAGATGAAAGGAGTGGAAAGTGAAAACAGTTTTAATTTTAGTGGTGGTTGCATTATTTTATTTTGACTTACATATTTAAAAGCTTCAAACTTTAAAATATTTTGAAAATCAAGGTGTGTAGGCATCTCTAACACTCACTCTCAAGCTCGGCAAAGTGCTATTCCGTTGCTCTTCTGCGGGACTGAAGCGCCCCGTGGGGCTCACCTACCTGAGTGAGTGCCTTTGGGAGATTTTTTCTCAAGTTTCAATAGTTCTTTTCCATCATCCAAATTATAGTTATCAGGCTTGGAAACGGGAAGCCCTGTTTATTAAAAAGAGGAGGAGAGGAAGAGAGTAAAATGAATTAAATATGGTGGGTACAGAGATCTCTGCTGGAATTTAGTTCCATGCCTTCATCTGGACAAGATGCTGCATCTGGAGTGAGGGAGGAAGGACCTCTCAACGGGGCTTAGAATATCTGCAAGAGTCTAAGACTGGTGCAAAGTTAAACTCAGTTTATAAAGATAAATTTGTCTGTGGTAAAGGAACGGAAAGTCTCTCAATTTCCTTATTGTTTGTGGGAGTCATAGATCAATGCTGCAGATTAATCGTCATTTTAGAAAAGAATAGGTATAATAGGGGACTTTAGCGGCACCCCAAAATTGTGGCTGTTGAACTACAGTTTTTATCTTTTAATAGTTTTTTCTTTTTTTTTTCAATTACTAAAATTTTGATTTAGTACATCAGGGTTTGACATTGACCACAACACCGTGTAACACCCTCAAATAAAAAAATGCACACACCACACACACACACACACACACACGCATGCACAGTGATGCGCATAGGATTTAAAATAGGCCACAAGCACCGCCTCTTTGCTCTATACTGTTTATCTGATGGATATATGCCCATTAGTTGGATTTTCAAAATATAAGTATATCTTTGCTCAGCTTTCTAACTGGAAGAATAACCTAACCCACCCGCCCACAGCAGCTGATGCCATCCTGGCCACACAGGGGTATCCTAAATTAATAGATACAACGGCAAAAACAAGCTAGTTGACTTTAAACAAACAAACAAATAAAATTCCACTGACACTTTTGTTTCCCTAAGTTCCTCCCAGTGAAGCCAGTGTATATTAGGCTGCCATTGAATCTTGATAAATAAAATGTCTAAACATCTCACCAAGGACCTAGGACAGGAATGGGGTGGCACAGAGCTCAGTGGCAGTGTGCAGGCTCAGCCTATGCAAGGCTCAGATTCAATCCTCAGCCTCCAGCAAAACAAAACACGTTTTTCCTCTATGCCCAAAAGAAATGCTTTATGACTTCTAAATGGAAACTGAAGGCTCATTAAAACATTTTATTCATGTCAGCCCCATGAGTGGATTTCAGAGCCACGGGGAGAAGCTGTTCTTACAAAGCGAGACCAGGTTCCTGTAGTTCTCCAGCATCACGGCCCTATGGGCAGGATCCAGTTTCCCCCACTCCTCTGGTGTAAAGTCCATGGCCACATCCTTGAATGTCATGGTTTCCTAAGACACAAACAGACTTTGTTCAGAGTCCTCTGGACAGTACTCTAAACTCAGCAAAATATAGAAAAACACACATCACACGGAGATTCTCTGTAGAAAGAGGTGAGGGACTGATTTGGGGAGGAAAGTTATCATACCTATATATTTCTATATTCCGTGCTGCTTATTAAGCTAAATCTAATATACATATTTTCTAAACCTACTAAGAAAAGATTTAAAAAACTTAATCAACCCAGATCTGAACACAAAAGTTCCAATATTAGCATTAAATAAAATCTAGTAAAATTAAAAAAAGAAAGTCTTTAAAAATATCCATAAAAGACAATCCACCATGATGATATAACAGTCTTTAATCTGGTATCAAGATAATGAAATGTACCACCTGTCCGCCCTTCTTTTCATATCTGTCTCCATGCTGAGCCACTCAACCCTGTGGAGAGCAGCTGGAATGTTTGGAGTCAGGGCTGGAATGTTTCTACTTATGTGTGCATTGGTATACTCCACAATTCCTCCTGGACAACACCAGCAACGGTGTAGGAGAAGACCTTATACACTGCTAGAAGTCATCCCAGAACTGGGGGAACAGCGAGCCTTCAACCTTGAAGACACAAGCCTACGCCTGTTTGATGAGGGTTCCAGAAGAAAAGCCTGTTTAAGAGCAAACCTCGTAGAGTTTTGGAAAAGGTTAACAAAATGGACAAGCCGGCTCTCCGTGTTATGGCCTAAATCCTTAACTAAACTTGCACTTTCAGTTGGGTGGGTCAATAAAGACCTCTCTTTGCACAAGCCAGTTTAAGATGAGTATCTTCAGCCTTCACTGAAGTCTCTTGGGTTGGTAAAGTCTGCGAGACTCACAGCGCAGTTGAGAAAAGTACAAAAAAAGCCACAAGTCATTTCTACAAGCATTAACATCCAGCGGAGGCTGACAGGAATCTCTGGTAGAATAACGCAAAACGAACACAGTAATTAGTGTAACCACCACCCATTGTGTATCCCATAGTTCTCCCTTGACACACTTGCTCTTTGTGGGAGGGACAAAACAATAAGCCTACGCCTTCAAAGCGGGAGGAAACTAGACCTAATGCTCCAGATTCATCCCCAGGGAGGACCGCTTCCTATCCCCAAGCTTTGAAGTCTTCAGAGCCTAGATTATTATTCTAATCACTTCCACATTTAAGATGTTTCCTAAGTTCCCATGTACCATCACAGGTGTGCTGTTTCCCCACAGAGAAATGTATGTACTGTTCCCTTAAAACAGCTTTCCACATGACCACATACAGAAATTAGCATAGCAGGGGAGGGGGGAGAAATGTGGCCCACCTGCCTGTAGGGAGACAAAGTACTAGATGGAGAAGAGAGGTGCCTATGAATAAGCAGAAAGTGTTTCCTACCAAGTCCATTAGTCTCTTGGAATTAGAACTCAGGTCTCTAGATGGGTTCTGTGGACAAAGAAATCCCACATCAAAAGGGGAGTGCACCTGCGCTCTCAGACACAAGATGGAGCTGGCTCTTAAGCAGTAGAGACTCACCTGGGACTTGGCTGTGAGTCTCAGAGCGGACACTTCTCCTTCTGCACTCTTCTCCTGGGAAAGGAGGGAGTCCTGGGAAGGCAGAGCTAAGGGCAAGCAGGCAGCAGTGACAGGGTTGAGACCCATCTCGCTACTCAGATCCCCTTCATCACACCACATGCCCTCCCTCCTAACAAAGACTGCAGAGAAACCAAACCAAACTGCTACTTTGCAGTACGGTGGGGTATGCCCAGGGACTTGGCTTCTTTGGACTTACATTCAGTTGCTCTATACATCCCAGAAACCAGAACTCTCCGGATTATAAACTAGAATAAGTAAGTTCCCATCATACTCTACTTAAAATCTTCGAAGCAGACTCATTTTTTTTTTCTCTAGGCTCTCTTAAAGCTTACTTAAGATGGAGACTGCTAAATCTCACCTCTAACCTCTAAATTATGATTGGTTGAGTTTGAGGTGTCATCTCGAAATTCGACAAGCACCCTTGAAGGGAATTCTGGCATAGAAGGTCATAGACTAAAGTTCAAGATACACTGGTCTAGTAGTGTTGATGTCAGCCCCACACTTCTGTGCCTGTCAACACATTCTGAGTTATCTGTCAGACCGTACAGTTAACTGTGTGGATAAAGTGGGATAATAGGTGTGGAAAATATTTTTGTCAATTACAAAGCTGAATTTTTGTATCCATGATGGAAACCAGGATGGGACAATAATTTCGAAGAACTTGTGCTTAAAGTTCGATAATGTCCCACTAACCCCAGTGCATTCCATTGTGCACCCATTACGTAAATAGGGACTGACCCTCACAACTGCTGCAACTTCTCAAAGCCCACTAATCCTCGGGTCAGTGTTGACAAGTCGCCCTCTTTTTCAAAGAACCACCTAACTCGAGGCAAAGGTGGGCTTTCCCTTCAAAGGGAAGAATTCAACTTTCTTTTTTCCACTGTGCAGAACCAGCCCATGCGCAACTCTACCTCTTTTCTGGGGCACTTCAACCAAATCCATCTCCACGATCACCAGCTCTTCAATGTCCCCAAGCTTCCACTTGTCTCCGGTTAGCACAATTAGGTATCAACGGAGCATCGAGGAGCTTCTTCCCTCTGGGTCTCAACGGAGAGCGTCACTCGCATCACGTTGAGATCTGGAAACCAGGGAAAGCATCCTAAATAGGGTCCTCGCATGCCTGTCCCTGGCGCCTGGAGCTTTTCTTAGGGGACCAAGCACCTGAGAGATGGCACAGGGTACAGACAACCGCGCCTCGCACCCAGCACCTCCCGCCGCTCCAGCTGCTCCTGTCTGCACCCGGGATCCGTAGTGAGCGATCCCGGCCGGCGCGTGGGGCGGAGACGGGACGAGGCTCAAGAACTGTGAAGTTCAGTTCCATCTGGCGTGGAACCACCACTGGACCACAGCCGAGGCAAACGGAGGACCGTAGCATCCCACCAAGCAACTCACCTCCCATCCCGGGCCCGACAAAAGGCTACGAACTTCTCGGGTTAGCTCCAAGTCGCGCATGCGTGACATTCTGCGGGGCAAGGCCAGAAACTACGACTCCCAGAAGCTCCTGCGCGCAGTCAGACCCCCCCCCCCGTTTCTTGACAGGTGGGACCTTGCATGGCTCAGCGATAAAGCGGGATTCCTCTTTCTCGCGAGAGAAAAGGGTGCATCGTCTACGATTAGGTTCCACACTTACCCGAAAGTGGGATCTGGGAGACGCGGGCTAGGTGGCTGTCTATGCGCCTTGTCTACACAATTACCTCTGTGCAGCTTCAGCCCAAATTTCTTTACTGTAGGCATGAGTATATGGTTTTTAGCCATGGTTTTGCCTTCCGCAAACTCATCCTTTGTCTTCAAACTATATGAAAGCTGTAGTTTTAGATCAGGATCCTGGCTGTACACTCATTCATTCTGATGGTCTTGTATCCAGAGACTATTTGCAATTCAAAAAAAAAACCTCATATGAGCAGAATTCAAAATATTGAGCCAGTTTCCACACACTTGAGCAGTAAGTTCTTTGCAAGAAAAAAAAAATGTTCAGCATTTATTAAAAAAGAAAAAGAAGTTGGTTTCTCAAGGGACCATGGTTAAGCCAATCCAGTTGGGAACTAACCTACCCACTTCCAATTTAACATGACTAAACAGCCCCACCTCAGTGGATGCTTTTCCTGCTAATGCATCATTTGCATCTGCCAGAATCAATATAACCAACTCTTGGTTCTCACCATCTAACCACCAGATCCTATTGCTATATTTTACCTCCCAGTTTGTTCATTTCTATTTCGGCTATGGCCTCTATCTTCTTCTCCACTTCCTTTCTTGTACCTGCATTCCCTTCCTCCTCCACCTCTTCTCGATGACCATCACGATTCCTGATGAAGACATCCCATTTCCTCCCCTTCATCCCCAGTGGTCTCTGCTTGACGTCCCTTTGTGCTCTAGAAGCCAGAGACCCAGCCTCTGTCTTTGCATTGGGAGAAGCCCTCCCCTTCCTTAGTCAGAGGAAAATTCAAGGAGAGAGAGGACTCAGAGGGAGGCAATGGCCCTTCCTAATCTGTCTCCTTTTTACTTCAGATCTATATAACTGCAAAACCTCCAACCCCTCTTTCTCTGAAAAAAAAAAAAAATCCCAAGCCCTGACTTTTCTCCTAGAATTTGTCCTCTTTTCCCACTACCTCACCCGGAGTGATTGTCAACAACTTCTTATGACTCTGTTGACTTCAGTGGACCTCAAACAAGGGGCAGAGGCAAAGAAGGCCTTTTGCTCTTGGTTGCTGGTACTGATGGGAGCTGAGAGGCTGCACAATTTTGAAGAAGCCTTCCCATCCAAATGCCCTGATTGGGACCCTAATATGCATAGGGTAAAAGGGCTAGGGAAAGAACATCCTGGCCCCGACTTGACCCCAAGACCAGGTACAAGGCAAAGAACACCACCAATCCCTGAGCTTGCCCCAGAAACAGACCACAAAAATCCACCAATCCCAAGTCACCCTGGAAAACTCTGACATCTCCTCTTCCCATATAAGCCCTGTATTCTGTTCAGTTTTCTGCTGCTTTCTCATGATAGCAGAGGCAGCCCCCCCCCCCCGCCTCCGGGATTGTTCTCTCCCAATAAATCTTTTGAGTGAAGTTTGTTGTGTGATGTGACACTCGCTGGAGCGTCAGCTGTAACGGCTTTTACCAGGGCAGCATAGAACTATAACTCTTCCATGGGGCAAAGCTGTAATGCTTACAGTGACTTTGTGGTATTGCTTGGCTCCCAACTGCCAGGGATACCTTTCCATCCGAGCTGCAACACTTACAATATGTCCACCAGTTCTCAAGACTGGATCCCTTTTTGTTGCTATCTTATGTCTGGAATTTGGGGTTCTGATCGAACACCCACTAATTTGTCTAAGACACCTGAGATTCTCTGTGAACTGGAGGAATCTCCAGTGATTACAGGAAGGCTTTCAAATTAACATGCCTTTTCACCCACTGACTCCAGAGAACCACAGGGTATTAAATTTGGCTTTTGTGACTCAGTCTGCTCCTGATACCTGCAGAAGGCTACAAAAGCTACAGGGTTTAGCTGAAATGAATACCTCCTAGCTCACAGAGACAGCCCAAAGGGTTTTCTGTAACTGAGATACTGAGAAACAAAAACAAGTAGCCATGACCACTGATCAAGTCACACATAGACAGAAAAAAATCATGATGGTTGCATTCCAGTCAGCTCACCCTGAGCCCCTAACTGCTCTTACCCAGAGAAGAGACCCACCCCCAAACAAAAAGTGGGGAAGATGGAGAACCCTGCACTGGAAAGGAATCCATGTGCCTGTAGTGAGGAAAAGGGACACTGGAGGAACCAATGTCTGAGCCATTCCAAACCCAAGAAAGCACTGACCTTCCTAACAACAAGGGAGCTGGACAACAAATCAGAACGAAGGAACCAGGGCTCTGTTCTCTTAGGCCTCCAAGAGCCCTTGGTTGAAGTATCAGTAGGCGGTTCTCCAGTTAAGCTCTTGGTAGATACCAGAGCAGAGGCTTCTGATTTTAAGAACTCTGATGGGGCTGTTTGCCAATAAAAAGAAGAGGTTCAGGGAGCCAATGACACAGTTAGGAACTACCACCTTACCCCTGAAAGGACAGTTAGCTTGGGCCACAAACAAGTGACACTTCTTTGTAGTGGTCCCAGATGGTCCCTTCCCCCTCTGGGAGAGATTTTAAAAAAAAAAAAAAACTAAGTAGAGCCATCACCTTTACTCTCCAGGAGACTAGAATTTCCTTTGCACCTACCTACCAGCTTAACTGCCCCTCTGTCTGAAGAATATCTCCTACTCCTTCCAGACTCCGCAGCAGAGGCAAACAGATTCTGGAAGCCTGCTCTGGAACCTGCAACGACAGTTTCCTATGGTATAGACTGAGACAAATCCTCTGGGCTTGGTGGCACACCACCCACCCATTGTGGTAAGTCTTTTGACTACAGTTGCACCCGTAAACATCCTGCAATACTTCATGAACCGAAAGGCTAGACCAGGAAATACCACTCATATCAGAAGGTTGTTGGAAACAGACATCCTTCCCCGTGGCAGTCAACCTGAAATATGCCTTTCCTGGTCCTTAAGCTGGGACCTCTCAGTCCAGGATCTCTGGGAGGTTAGTAAACAGACTAAGACCATTCATCCTACTATTCCAAACCCATAAACTTTGCTCAGTCTCCTCCCACCAGATCACCAGGTTTCTATGGTTCTGGACATTAAGGATATTTTGTTTTCCATTTTCCTGGTGCTGGTGAACCAGCCCATATTTGCATTTGAACATATCCAGTGTCCTGTGAGATAAGTCAGTCACCCTGACACAGCTACCCCAAGGGTTTAAAACTTCCTGTATGCTCCTTGGAGGAAATGCCTCAGGAAGACTTGATAGGGTGCAGAGTGTCCCACCCTGACTCTGTTCTCTCCAGTATGCAGAAGATTTCTTTCTGATAGCAACCTGTTTGAGAGAAACCTGCTCCTGCTGTTCTAGACATTAGGCTACTGAGTCTCTGTGAAGAATGCCCAGCTTTGCCAGATGGAAGTTTCTTATCTGGGGCACAAGCTCGTGCAAGGTAGGTGAGCTCTCAGTGCCACCCAGAAGGAAGCCATCCTCTAGCTTCCCACATTCCAAACTAAGTAGCAAGTATAGGAATTTTTGGAGCCAGCAGGATCCGACTCTGGATTCCGGAGTCTGTCCAGAGAGCCCAGCCTCTTTGTTCTGTCGCGGGAAACTTTAGTCTTTAAACTGGACAGAGGCAGGCAGAGGATCTGTGCTTTTAAGAAATAAAGCAGGCCCTAGCCCTAGCCCCAGGGTTCATTCTACGAGATGTCACCAAACTGTCTCACCTTTCCATTCATGAGACTCAAGGGCTCACAAAGGGTGTCCAGCTCAGATCCTGGGACCTTGATGGAGGCTCATAACATATCTGTCTAAGTGTTTGGATCTGGAGGCTTCAGATTGACCATTCTATTTGAAAGCCATAGCTAAAAACATTGCACTAGTAAGGGAAGCTGAAAAGCTCATTTTAGGCTAAGGTCTGACAGTGACAGTTCCTCACAATGTGGAGACCCTCCTACAGGGGTCAAATGGCCAAGAGATGTTGTTTTACCTTACAGAACACACAATACCTTATCTTCTATGCCCTCTTGGTTAGATATCTCAATTGGATAAGTCTCTAGTTGCCTTCCCACCTTCCCTGTCTAACAGGAGCCCAAATCCTCTGCAACTGCAGACCCATGTTTAGCAACTCCTAGGACTATGGTAACTAACTCCCTGCTTGGATTCCTGCAGTGTCTGACCACCACCTCCTAAATTACATCCAACCTAAAATGGCTCAAGATTGCTGCATCTGTTTAAAGGCCTGACCTTCTTACTCTGCCAGGGAGCAGAGCCCCCTACAGCTGTGATCTCCAACTGCTCTGCCTGTCTGCATCCAGAAACCATCATTATGCATTCTGAATTAGAAGGGACCAGT